CCTCAGAACCCTCTTAAACCCTTCATATACCCATCTGGATGCCTTTTAAATATTATAATCGTACCAGCCTCCAGCACTTCCTCTGGCAGCTCATTCCATACACGCACCTCCTTCTGCGTGAAAAAGTTGCCCCTTGGGTCCCTTTTATATCTTTTCCCTCTCACCTTAAACCTAAGCCCTCTAGTTTTGGACTCCACCCCACCCCAGGGAAAAGGCCTTGCCTATTTACCCTATCCATGCCCCTCATGATTTTATAAACCTCTATATGGTCACCCCTCAGCCTCCAATGCTCCTGGGAAAATAGCCCCAGCTTATTCACCCTCTCACTAACAGCTCAAACCCTCCAACCCTGGCCACATCCTCATAAATCTTTTTTGAAACCTTTCTAGTTTCACAACATCCTTCCTATAGGACGAAGACCAGAATTGTACACAATACTCCAAAAGCAGCCTAACCAATGTACTGTACAAGCGCTACATGACCTCCCAACTCCTATACTCAACACACTGACCAGTAAAGGCAAGCACACCAAACACCTTTTTCACTAACCTATCTACCTAAGACTCCACTCTTGTAACTTGATGGATCTAGGCTGTAGATGCTGTCTCTGCCTTCAATACAATTTCTATAGTCAAGCATCAAACTTGCACTTAATCGAACTGAGATCTCACAATTGCTTTATATATGTTTGTCATCACCTGTTGTGATCTTGTCATTTGGACCCAACCATTTCCATGGCTTCATCAAATCCCAAGGATTTGTATGTTTGTATGAAAGCAAAATGCTGTGAATTCTGGAAATCTGAAACAAACTTGAAGAAACTCTGCAATTCTGGCAGTCTCTGTGGAAACAGAAACTGTGCTAATGTTTCGAGTCCAGTTGACGTGACTCAAGACTCGAACCATTAACTCTGTTTCTCACTTCACAGATTTTGCCAGACCTTTCTGAGTGTCTCCAGAATTCTCGTGTTTGTTTGTATATTTGTACCCTGGATGTTTGAATTTCCATGGGAATCTCTCACTCATCTGCTGTCATTTCGGTGGAAGAGCCACAAAAAGCCGCTGTATTATTTACACTCCCCAAGGCTTGGCTCTTCCATTGACACAACAGAATGACAGCACACAGAAATTTAACACTTGTGATTCTCTTTGTTCCACCCACATTCTACTCTACTGTTTCACCAGATTCTGTTCTGTTGTTCCATGGGTATCTGCTGCCATTGTTTGTTTCCTTTTCTCAAAATGCATTATATGTGCCATCTCTTTACTCATTCCACTAGCCTACACATGTTCTCTTCCAATTTTTTTGAACTTAACGCTAGAGTTGGAGCAGGAACATTGCCCGACTGACTCCCTGACTTGTGCACATAATAGGCACTGGAAGTGTGGAAATAGTCTTAAGTTTTCATTTTCAATCCGTGTCACATGTTTTTCAGTAGATTTAATGAAGGTGTGACAGTTTGGAAGATTTTTTTTTCTAATTCAGTTTTGTAATCCATAACAAGGTATTGTTTCCTTTTTTTAAAAACGTTCGATTAACATAACCATATGCCTTTCACTGCTTGCAGGATATTGACTGTAACCTTTGGTTGTCTTAGGTTTCTGTAGGTTCTGTGTTGACCTGCATTGTTGGTCTCTTAATTGAAGGCTGCTTCAGTCGGGAGCCCTGCCCAGCCTGCTTTAGGCACAGATTTTTGGCTTCCTCACAGTCCTTGACTGTGTTAAAGAAATCTCCTGTGGTGCATTCTCCCAAAGTCCAGACAGTGAAACAAATTGTGATATTGTTAAACAGTCACTGTTATTACAAATTGCCAAACCAAGCTGCAGCATAGCAAACACTCCACTTTTATTGAAATAGTCTCTTACAAAAACAATATGACTTGTAGCTCGTTTCTAAAAGCTACCATGATGCACTCACAGAACTCCCTCTGCTCAGGATTAGCAGAGCCTTTATATACCCAGTCTGACCTAAAATCCAACTCTCTCCATCAATCTATTCCACCCCCTCTGTCAACTCTTACACGTGTTACATGGTGTTCCAACTTAATACAGTAGATCCCTGCTCTGTAAGATTTTCAATTGGGAAAGATACAAAAAGCATCAATAGACAGGTGTTATGTGGTTTCCATGTTAATGAGGGAGCTGGAATCAACATTAGCGATATTGGTGAATGTTACAATGAAACATTACTTTTGTTGTGTCACGTTAGTGACATTTGATCACATGATTTACATTGATTTTACTTATGGGGTTCAGCATTTGGAACAGTTTACGCTTTCACCTTCATGTGTTTTTAATGATTTCTTCATTGACTATAATGTTGAACAAAAAAATTAAATAAGTCATTATTCTTATATATTATATATTCAGTTATTTGACACTGAGGACTGTATTTGCTTAACCTCATCATATTTGGCTACTCGGTACAAGAATCTTACTCTAATCTCTACTATTTATATGTGGAGAACATTCATTGATTCAGCTGTGCTGAGGTCAGTTTCAGATGCAGTAAATTATTAGGTCCATATGAAAGATATACAGCTCTTAAGGTTTGAGGTCACACAGCAGCAGGCATTTAGTTTGATTGAGAAATTAAAATGATTTGTTGATGGACCTTTTTTTTGGAGAGCAGCCGTACACTGTTCCACACCAGTGCAGTTTTATTAGTCATGGTAGTGAATGTTAGCACTCAACTTTTGCAAGCTTCTCATAACTATCCACCATCACTAATATTTTTGGTTTCTTTGTCCTCCCTCTGAAAGGGTTACTCATGGCATTCCAGTATATAAGGTCCCATTAAATAGCAACAGCAATACAAATGAACAATGAAAATTCATCCTGACCTGGCAGGATGACTTTCACACCCATATAGCCACATAAATCATCTCCTTTTGTAGAAAACCATGCAGGTAGTTTACACTTTCTTTTATTTTAACATGGAGGGTGCTAATTGCAAAGAAAAAGAAACAGTTATAAGCTATGCAAAAAGAAATTCAAGATATTTTGAGATATTTCGCTGCGTTATAGAAGGTTGTGTGAATGCAAGCTGATGAAAGTAGACTGGATGTTGCTTCTATCAGATTCAACCTACAAGCTAGAGTCCATGTTAGCACAGCATTGGAGAGTACAATATACTTCTTAGCAATTCTGTTCTGTTGGCTGCATGTTGGGGCAATTAACTATATTATCAACTACTTTAATGAAAATGTTGTAAAAGTGTAATGCCACACACATCAAGCACATATAAAGTGTGTTTTATTTTTTATAGTAAAGTTAGGAATTAAACAATTATATTTTCATTTTCATCACATGTTTAAAAATGAATGTGAAGCAGCCGGTGGTTGTGAAAGGTGAATCAATGCTGCCACCTACTGATTTGAATATTGCTATATGACACCAACAATGAAAATCTAAATGTCCTAACAAATATTGCTTCACGTAACAACATTTTTGTATTTCTAAGTCATATTTGCCCTCATTTGAAGCTGGTAAATATTCATTGACAAATGAATCACTTTAATTAACCAGTTTGCAGACTTTTATTTTATCTAATATCAACAATAGAGATCATGGAAACTAAATTATCATTAAGGAAACGGATAGATGAACTTCAGCACCAAATTCAAGAATGAAAGCAAAACAAGTTTGATTAGTCAATAACCATCATTGTGCAATTATAATTTCAGCATTTTTATACGTGTTTTATGTCTCATCTTTCTTTAGAGTAGATGTATTGTGCTATCAGTCAGTCTGCAATGCTGACTTAGTGCAAGCACTGCCATTTTGAAACTCAACATTCTGGTTATCGTCACATGACTAAGCATATATCTGCAGCAGGATTCATATACAATCTTGCTCTCCATTGAAATAGCACCTTTGCTACCCTGATTAATGCCCATCAAACCCAATGGTTCCCTATATACCAACTCTTCCACGAAGCCATCCTCCAAAGTGCACAAATAAAGTCAATGTCTGAGTTGGTGGTTATGAATGCATAACTGACTGCTTAATTACTGTCTTCCTTCTCTTGATACTCCTGGCTGAGTTGCAGTTCTTGGGTATCAGAAAGGAGACCATCACAAGGGAAGGCTTGTGATGAGGGATGAGGAGAATGCAAGAGGTGCTTGCCTACACCATCTGCAACTTGAAAATCAGGAGAGTCTGGGAATGAGGATGTGGTGGGGGTGAGAGAATCTGAGAAGAGGTTTACATACAAGGGAGCCATCAACTACAATGATCTCAGACATAGCCACTCCAATGATAACACCACTGCTGCCTCCATCAGTGTATAAGTATGGATGAAGGACTGTCCCCATCTAGATGATTATTCCTCCCTCCAGCTATGTCCCACCATGAGAGGATTTTAAGTATTTCAGTGTATTCAGGTGATGTGGCTGTCATTCTAGAATAAATGGCAGCATATATGAGTTGTGAGATATTGGTATGAGACTTGCAGCAGTGCTAAGTGGTTGAAGTGAGGTTATGAATGTTGGGTACAGTTGTGATCGATAGAGATTCTTGGTTTTAATTGTTGTGTGCACCATGTCAAAATTGCACTTTGTAGAGCACAGAGCACCTGGCCAGCCTAATGCACCCACCCCTCCTCCCTTTAAGAGTTGTGTGCTGAATTTGAGTAGTGCGAGCTTACCTTAACTCTCATGGTTTGCATTTCCTGCTCTTACAGGCAGCCACTCATTGATATGTTTAGCACTGGCTACATGGTACAATCATTTAAGTAGGGAAGCGGCACAACGTTTGTGTGATGGTTTTATTGCAAGCAGCAGTCATGAATTTACTAAATGTATCCCATTACAAAAGTTCATCATTATTATAGTCCTTGACCAAGCATTTTACATATTGTAACATGCTATATATGAATGTTCCATGATCTCCTTGAAAACAAATAGGTTGAGGTTTACTCAACAGTAAATGCACTTAAAATTATAATTTCATTTTTCAGTAATGGAGAAGTCATTTTGTTAATTTCGTTAATTTTAACAGGAATGCGATCAAGTACATATAGATGATGTCTCCTCTGATGACAATGGACAGGATTTAAGGTAATAATTTTGTCCGACAGCAAATTAATATGACAAGAGAAAGGATGTTAAAATGATAAATACATGTTGTTTGCTGTATTTGCAGTACCTACAGCTTTGCAACAGATGGTTTTCATGCAGCTGCCACCAGCGCAAACCTCTGCTTAGCAACTGGTGTGCGAGGAGGTGTTGATTGGATGAGAAAATTAGCCTTCCGTTATAGACGTGTAAAAGAATTATATAACACTTACAAAAACAATATAGGAGGTGAGTCAGATTTTTCTTTACTCTGATCAATTTGGTTGCTCACGGCTCCTTCAACAGCAATTGAATGATGTGCTACTTTCCGAATGAACGTCATTCAGTCATCCAGTTCAGTGCCATTGAAAGGAAACTCTCACTAGTAGCCAATTTGACAAACTATTCCACATCCTTGTCACACAAAACATTCTACAGTCGAAATTCCACCATGTTTAGCACACTGGCTAACTAACCTGTGCACATTTCTAATGTCCGCTCTGTTGATGAAGACCTTTATGTCTAAAACAAACTGCAGGAAGGGGGTTTGCATGTCCAAGTGAAATTTAAAGGAATGGGGATAATTAATGAGGTGGATCAAAATTAGGGACAAAGTTCAGCAAAGAGTTGTAGAGTGTTAAGGGGTGGTTAAAACTGTGAGGAGACTTTGCTGAGGCTGATGGAGCAAAGCATTTAAAAAGGTAGCCAATGCTTTTTCCATAATGGTTCATCTTCCCTTTCAATCATGTGATTTGAGATGAATAAATCTTTAACTGATGAGCATTTGACCACAAATAAACTACATTAAATATTTGAAAGCAGCATTTTTTTAAATTAACAATAAATTGATGATAATAATAATAGAATGACTTACAAATTACTTAAAGAGATAGGCAGAGTAGATACAAGTAAGATGTTTCCCCTGGTTGGAAAGTCTCGAACCTGGTGCCACAATTTAAAATAAGGGAAATGCCACTAGGTCTGAAATGAGGAGAATTTGTTTTACACAGAGGGTTGTGAACCTTTGGAATTCTCTACCAAAGAGGCCAGTGGAAGCTCACTTTTTGAGTATGTTTAGTATACAAATTAATAGATTTCTGATCACCAATCGCATACAAGGTTATGGGATGGTGTGGATAAAAGAAACAGTGAAGTATTCAATCAGCTGTGATCATATTGAATGGCAGTGCTGAATGGGCGCTTCCTGTTTCTGTGAATGGTGAATGAAAAGTACAACCTCTTGCCATGTGGCTGAAACTCTAGGCAACTTTATTTTCAGTTCTTCATTTACTTACAGAGCACTCTTCAGAAAAAGTGCTGAAACATGTTATAAGACTTGTGGTGGGAGTGGGGATGATGAGGACACTTTTGTACCCCATTTGCATCATTCCCTTGTATGACAAGAATATCACTCATGCCTGGCTGGGAGTTGCAGATTCTACATTTAGGAGTCTCTAGGCCACCGTTATGTACTTTCCCACTGAAGGAGAGAAGGACACAGGAAAGGCATTTTGGTGCTAATGACGACAAGGGAAAACAATAAAAGCAACAAATGTTCCCCTTTCTTATCATTTTCACCATTCAGGCTGCCCTGTTACTCTATGAAATAATTCACATCAAAGTGTGAAACCAAATGCACAAAACATTTACCTAGATTCCTGGCCTTATCCACAATTGTTACGGACATCGAGGCATTGAATGTTTCAAAGGTATTGTTGACATGGAGCAGAGATTTTGCAGAGGTGAGCTAATTCTCTCCTCAACCTCCACCCACCACCCCCTGCCCCATCATATTATCACTCTCTTAATGTGATAATTCACCAGCTACACAATTCGGCATTAGTAACTGATCGGAACTATAATCTAAAGCAGAAAATGGTTGTGATATTTGAACAACACATTTTGAAACCCATTCCATTGTATGATGGAATGGAGTATTCTAAAAAATATATTTGAGCTGAACTTTAGGTCCATTAAACTGGTCAAATTAACCCAGCTGATCAACCTTCAACATTCGTGAGAAAATCAATGGTCAAAGCCATTGTTACCGTGTGCATGATTTTTACATATGTTCTCCTAGATTTCATTGCTGGTGCTGACTTGGAAAATATAGACTCTGAAAGTATTAAACAAATATGCTGCTGCTTGTAGAGATAGTAGGATCTGCCGATGCTGGAGAATCTGAGATAACAAGGTGTAGAGCTGGATGAACACAGCAGGCCAAGCAGCAGCAGAGGAGCAGG